TAATATTGAGGTCCTACAGATACACACGCTCAAACAAGTCTCAGCCATCAGTCATGCTTTCACCCTGTTTTGTAACATCAAATAACTATAATTAAAACCAACAAATTAAAACTTTGTGGAAAACACTCATTTAACAAAATTTTAACTTTTCCAATCCCGTTTTGGAAATGTTGGTTCAATTAGGATGTCAACTGTTAAGGGATAAAAACAATAATGAATTCAAATTACAGCAGAGCAGTTGTATGTCTTCACCAACCACTACAGTTTCCTTGCGCATATGTCCGTACATAATTTTTTCTTCCGCAGATGATTCAGTGACCTTTGACCACTGAAATGTAATCAGTTAATCTTGGAGTCCAAGTGAAAGTTACCAAATCTGAAGACATTCCCCCAGGCCGATCTCGAGAAAACAAAAACATAATTAGTGAGGTAACAGTGACCTGTGGCTACCAAAACAAAATCCATGTTCAAGTAATTGAGCTTTGTGTGGTCACAGGGACTTTGACCTTTGATCACCAGATTCTATTCAGGTCATCCTTCAGTCGAAGTGAATGTTTGTGACACGTGACATTCCTGATATATTTTGTGAAAAAAACAAAGTCGTGTGACCATGACCTTTTGATCTTCAACCACCGAAATCTACATAACCACCAAAATCTATATAATATAGAAAAGACCCTTTATATTTACATCAAGGGGGTCCTCTCTACAGAGGCCGCCATGTTTTTTACATTAGTGCAGACTGAACAAACTTTTGAGTTTTTATGACAACTGAAGCTACCACAGGTTCTTTTTCATGTTTGGGAAGGAGAGGGTGAGGTGAGGGGTGTTCAGCTGCAACATGACACTTCAACACTAGATATCACAAAATTCTACACACTACCTTTAAAGAATGACTTATATTCTGCTGCATTTGAACTTTTTTTTAATATATATACAATGATGCCAACATGCAGAGGATAGATACAGAACAAATGAATACATTTAATGGTGTGAAACACCTCCCACTGCTGA